TGGAGTGCATATTCATGTCTAATTAGTGGTTAAAGTCTAATTAGATACAATTCATATCATTTCATATTACATAGGAACCTCGCGCGTAATCAAGCCCCGAACCTCACATAGCATCCAAACCGTCGCGTTTTCTCGTCTGGTGAGTTCATACCCCTACCCATTTTCACTGTTTTCACTGTTTTCAGGGGGAATACAAGCAAAGTACAAGTGATACTTGTACTCAAAACTTGTTTTATATACATTGTGTTTCATACTATATATGCTTTTAACACTGAAACTCGTAACAAACAACCGTTTGAACTTACAGGACACACTATCATGTTATTTGTGAATTACATTATAAATTGTTGTCTTTATATCTTCACAAATGTTTTCCCACATTATAACAGTTAAAAGCATAACTTTTGAACATGGTTTTGTCCTCGGTAACACTTCACAGAGATATGCAAGTGGAGGATAGTCATTTGATCTTTCAGTATTATTACTAGTAAATTTGTTAATCCTATAATTGGAGACACGTCCTCGGTGAACACTCCACAGAGATACGCGAGTGGAGGACCGCCCCCGTAACAGAATCTCTTAGATAGGGAGCGTGACTTGAGTGTATAGATCTATACGGGGCTGACTACCCCACGCCTGGATGCTAGCTACAGCCGAACCGAAAGGTTCAAGGGTGACGAAAGTCATAGGTGATGGACTATTTATTGCCTAATTAGTCTTTAGTATGGTTATGGAACTCAATTTGGATAACAGATTTGGATAACAGAGATTAATATAGTAATAATGGATTAAGTAACTAGTTTACTTGGTATATGTTAGTTTTATAAACATGTTAAAACTAATACATTTTCATAGTACACCTTTTACATTACATTTTGGTTGTGAGTACATCTTTTACATTACATTTCGGTTGGTAAACTAACACGTACATTACAAGGATAACCAGGTTTTCAGTATACATCTTTCACATTAGGAAAATATGGGATTTTCCTGGGATCACAGTTGAGCATAACCAGAACAGTGTAACCTAACAATTAACCAAACATTACTTTTAAGAAAATATGGGATTTTCTTGGGTCGTAACATTTTCAGAAACCAAAAGGAAACTCGTACATTTTCACAGAACAAAACCGCTTATGAACTCACCAGCTTTATGCTGATTTTCAAACTGCTTGTATTCTCAGGTCCGCATTAGACAGGTACCCGATGATCCATTTTGGCGAAGACGGAGTGCGTTGAAGACACGTCTTGTTTTTGTTTATATATACATATGTATAAACACTGTACAACTTTACTTTTGGTCAAATGTAATTTCTATATGTAATGTAATGGTTGTTTTACTTTACTTACTATGTGCATTGGATTTGATACACAACGTGGAGTCCGCCCCGGAAATGTTTCCGCCTTCGGTTTTCGGGGTGTGACAGATTGGTATCAGAGCCCTTGTTTATAGTGAATGAAGTATACCAAACCTTACATGGTATAAAACTATAAACACTAAAGGGCCTAAGTGCTCTGAATTAAAAGTATCTTCAAACTACAAGTATTTTCAAAAGTATACAAGTATACCGAACCGTCGTGATCCGTAACTACAAGTAGAACAGAACATAAGTAATTGGGTGTTGTGTACTACGGTTAAACCTGGGCATTATGTAGTCATGTCTAGGGTCAATATAGCCTGGCCAAATATATTCATTCGAGACATGGCCAACATGTGCTTGGGAGTGATTGTGGTGTGCGGCATTCCTAAAACTTACCCTAATACCACAAACATCGAACCATTGTCGTAATCAAATCATGAAATACTATGGGAGTATTTCTCGATCCAATCCTCTGTATAAATCCTTATTCGAGTGGCGTTCTATGATCATTCTTAGCGATAAATTATCTGTTTTAATAACTCTTTCCTGCTTTATCGCTTATTCGGAACATATAACTGCCATATCTATCGATTCAATGTAGAGGACTTACCATCCTCTCTCTTTCTTGATCTTATTAGATCAAGATGCCTCCCAGAAAGAGACCCAGCTCAAAGAACAACAACAATCCTTCTTCGCCACCACCTCCTCCTCAATTTGATCTTGCATCGCTTCAGACAGTCCTAACTGCTGCAATGGTGGCAACCATGTCACAAGTGAACCCTGGTGGCTCAGGAGGTGGTCCCTAGCCCCAGAACCCTAAAGACAGTCAGGGACACCGAAAGGATGGTTCCTATAAGGATTTCATGAACGCGATACCAACATCCTTCAATGGCACTAGAGGTGTCATTTCCTTATCCCGATGGTTCGAGAAAATCGAATCCATCTTCGAAATCTGTGCGTGTGCGAAATCTGATAAGGTCAAATTTGCAACCTGTACCTTCGTTGATAAAGCCTTGACTTGGTGGAATGGCCGAGTCAAATCTCTGACCCTACCCGTAGCCAACGCCATGGGCTGGGAAGCCATGAAAGAACTTCTGATAGCTGAATACTGCCCCCGTGGTGAAATGCAGAAACTAGAACACGAGCTCTGGAACCTGAAAATGAAAGGTTCCGACATTGCTGCATACACTTCCCATTCATGATCTTGCACTTCTCTGCCCGGGATTAGTCACTCCCGAGAGTAAAAAGATTGAAAGGTTCATTTGGGGGTTATCCCAACCGATAAAGACTCATATCTTGGCTGCCCTTCCGGATACCTTTGATAGTGCCAAGACTTTAGCCCAAACCTGATTGATCATAGCGATGATGTTGAGGAAATCACTACCACTTCTGAGCTGACTCAAAGGAGTGGTGAAAAGAGAAAATTCTGGAAGAAGAAGAAGGGTCAATCTTCCCAAGGATCTTCCAAGAAACAGCAGACTGTAGCAGTCCAAGCTGCTACTACCCCCGTTGTTGCTGCTTCTGTTGTGGGATTTACATCTCCAACTCCTACCAGTAGATATGTTGGTAATCTTCCCCTGTGTGACAAGTGCAAATACCATCACAATCTAGGCCCCTGTCGAGAACTATCTTGTACCAACTGTGGCAATAAGGGGCACACAGTTCGATTCTGCAAAACTCCGACCCAATCGGTCAACCAATCATCTGGAGCAGGCGTTAGTCAAGCTTGCTACAACTGTGGAGAGGTTGGGCACTTTAAAAGGAACTGCCCCAAGAAGTCAACAGCTGATAACACTGGACGAGTTCTAACTATGGGACGGGAGGAAGCAGTTGCCGATCCTACTGTTGTCTCGGGTACGTTCCTTCTCGACAACTCATATGCTAGTATTCTTTTCGATTCGGGTGCGGAAAGGAGTTTTGTTAGTCATGCATTCAAACATAACCTAAAACATAATCGTCAACCACTAACTGAAACGTTTACCGTCGAGATGGCTAACGGTGAGAAAGAAAGCGCTAGCGATGTATTCATAGGTTGTACGCTTACCCTGAATGACCACTCATTTCCTATAGATCTCATGCCAGTTTCCATTAAGAGCTTTGATGTTATCATTGGCATGGATTGGTTGAGTCCCAATCATGCTGATATCCTTTGTTACGAAAAAGCCATCCGTCTCAATCTTCCTTCGGAACAGACCCTCGTAATCTATGGCGATAAACCCAGTTCCAATCTTCGTATCATTTCCTGCATCAAAGCTCGGAAGCTCCTACGAAAGGAGTGCATTGCATTCTTAGCCCATGTGATCAACGAGAAACAAGAAGTTAAAGACCTCGCGAGCATCCCCGAAGTCTGTAACTTTCCTGATGTGTTTCCCGAAGAGCTTCCAGAATTCCTCCTGAGCGTCAGGTCGAGTTCCGTATTGACCTAATTCCTGGAGCTACTCCCGTAGCAAAGTCTCCGTATCGTTTAGCTCCAGCAGAAATGCAGAGTTATCCAGTCAACTCAATGAGTTGCTCAGTAAAGGGTTCATTAGACCGAGTTCCTCACCCTGGGGAGCTCCGGTATTGTTTGTCAAGAAGAAAGATGGATCCTTTCGGATGTGTATCGACTACTGTGAGCTGAACAAGTTGACCGTAAGAACCGATATCCTCTTCCGTGAATAGATGACTCTTCGATCAACTCAGGGAGCCAGCTACTTCTCAAAGATAGACCTTCGGTCAGGGTACCATCAGTTACGAGTTCATGAGAATGATGTTTCCAAAACAGCTTTTAGGACTTGGTATGGACACTACGAGTTCGTAGTGATGCCCTTCGGTCTAACCAATGCACGGCTGTGTTCATGGATCTGATGAACCGGGTGTGCCGTCCCTTCTTAGACAAGTTCGTCATCATGTTCATTGACGACATCCTCGTCTACTCTAGGAGCGAAGAAGATCACAATCAACACTTGAGGTTAGTGTTGGAGACCCTTAGATCCGAGAAGCTATACGCGAAATTCTCCAAGTGTGAATTTTGGATATGGAAGGTAACTTTCCTCAGTCACGTGGTAAGCGAGGAGGGTATTCACATGGATCCTTCCAAGATTAAAGCGATAGAGAATTGGTCAGCACCGAAGACACCCATAGAAATCCATCAATTCTTGGGTCTCGCCGGCTATTATCGGAGGTTCATCCAGAATTTTTCCAAAATCGCCAAACCCTTAACCACTCTAACACAGAAAGGTGTACCCTTTTGTTGGAGTGATAAACAAGAAACCGCATTCCAAACGTTGAAGAGAGCCTTATGCAGCGCGCTTGTTCTGTCCTTACCCGAAGGGACAGAGGACTTCCTTGTCTACTGCGATGCGTCTAATCAAGGTTTAGGCTGTGTGCTATGCAAAGAGGAAAAGTGATTGCTTATGCCTCAAGATAGCTGAAAGCACACGAGGTCAACTATACCACACATGACTTGGAACTAGGGGCCGTAGTCTTTGCATTGAAGATTTGGAGACATTTTCTCTACGGAACCAAGTGTACAATCTTCACTGATCACAAGATCCTGTAGCACATCTTTGATCAGAAAGACTTGAACATGAGGCAACGGCGATGGGTAGAACTACTCAGTGATTATGAGTCTGAAATCCGTTACCACCCCGGCAAGGCCAATGTGGTAGCAGATGCCCATAGCTGAAAGGAAAATGCAGGCCACAAAGTGAAGAACCAGACGATGACTATCCATTCCAACTTACTCATGCAAATCCGAGAAGCCCAGTTAGAGGCAGTCAAACCTGAGAACGTGTTGATCGAAACCTTGAGAGGAATGG